CACAGGTTGGAACCCGGAGAAGTGGAGGCTCAGGGAAGCCCTTTCCATTGCTGCACAGTCAAGTTCAGCCCAGGTTGAATTGGCTTTTTTGGGGTTTTGTTTGTTTGTGCTTCCTTCCACAAGTTCAGCCATTTCCCTTTCAGCCGCTAAACTTCGTTTCTTAGTTTCCCCACCTTTTAAGGACCCGTAATTATGCCAGACGTTGCTCATCAGGCTGACACCCACAGTTCTAAAATTGTTCCTGGTGTTGGGGGTGTCTGGGGAGGAGCGGTGGCAGCTCCAGCGTCCCCACCTTCTCTCCTGAGGCTCCTCACTAATGTCTTATCACCAGGGGAGTGTGACACAGAGGTGTGCTGCCTCCGAGACTGTCATCGTCTAAGAAGCGCTCTGGCTTTTCCCCACGAGCGAAGTTCTGCCAGTGACCTTGTGAAGCACTGAGACACCTGAGAGCTCAAAAGAAAAGGCTGTGGGTTTGAGGACATTCTGAATGAAACGAAACGGGAGCGATGGTGTGTGGGTAAACTGGCTGCTCTGAGCTTGAGCGCTAATTCAAAAATAAATGTATCTCTTTAAAAAAAATAGAAATATTTCAATTTTCTGTACATTTTATAAGAAAAAGGAGCAATTGTGATGACTTTTCCCTCACGCAAACCCTAATTTTATCTTGGAAATTTTGAATGGCACCTCCTTGGGATAGATAAAACTCACAGGACAGTGTCAGGAATACCTTGGGGAAAGAATCAAGCTCTTAGGACCACGACTTTTTGTGAATTGACACTCTTCTCTTGAGAAAACCGCTCTGTGCTTTTCCCTGTGGCTTATCTAAATGCTTTTATTGCATATTTTCTGACCTGCTGTTCTCACCATCGATACCTCAGAGTTTAAGAAGACTTCCCAAAGGGCATTAGTGACAGCTAGAGACACAAAGCCAGCGTTCTCAGACCTCTGCCTGGAAGAGGATGCTCCTTCCTCACATCAATCGGAGATTCTGGAACATCTTTCAGCCGAGTCTCTTGGTCGTAAGAAACAACCTGCTGTTGTGGAGCTTGGAGCTCATATCCTTCAAGGGTGCTCTGTAGGAAGTCTTGGTGCTCTGGGAAACTGGGAAGGCTCCGATCCCCAGGCAGCGAGAGCGTTGCTCAGCTCCTGTGGGGATTTGCAGGGGGCTGGGGAGTGTTACAGGGTGGGGATCAGAGCGAATGAGCTCTGCTGGATTTGGAAGCTACCAGGAATCCAAGTGACAGAACAGCAATCCCCTAGGGTTGTTCAGGGCTCGTTTGGAAGTTATAAAAGCCCAACCTGTTCAGGAAAATTGGGTATCGTGCGGAGACGATCCACTTTTAATCACTTTCTTATCTGCATTACTGAAAAATACATGAAGTGGTTTATTGACGCCTTTTAGCACCCTGAAAACTTCTGGTTTATGCCTAAAGTGCTGCTTATTTGTCTTGTGAAAATGTCCCATGGATGCATCAGTGTCACTGCTGATGGGATTCACCCTTCACCATGCTTCAGATCTAAGATAGTCTCCCAGATGTTTGTGTGTGGCCACAGCATCAGGGGATGAGCTCTTACACGTGAGGAGAACTGCGATTAATCTCCCTCGCTAAGGTCTGAAAAATCAAGCCATGCCTTGCCTTGCTTTGCTTTGATTGCCTCTCCTTGCCTTCCCTTGCCTTCTTTGTTTTTCCCTTCTTCATCCCTTTCCTGCTTTTCACTCCATGTCCTAATATTAAATGCAGCTCTTACCAGATCTGGACAAGGAACGTGAGCAAGTTCTTCTTAAAGGAGCTAGTGCTTATCCCTTTTCTTCCTTTTTTCTCATCTACCAGCAGGCATTCCATTTCATAAAATCACCTCTAAAAAGGAAAACCACGCTTCTTCTGTCCTTCAGGCAAAACCCAGTCCTTAAGACTCCAGGATTCTGTTCTCTTTTCCCTTTACAGAGCTTCCCATAGCAAGACACCCGTGTTACATTCATGCAGAGTCTGGTCAAGCTCAGCTAATTCTGCAGTTGCTGTTGTGCTGATGTTTGCAGTCTTTCTCTAGGCTTGAAGCGTGCGTGGTGCTGGGAAGGACCATCAGCATCCTCTGAGAACCCGTTGTTTGGATTGCTCAGGGAAAATGCCCCGAAGAAAAGGCTTGGAGAATCACGTCATTGGATCCGGATTCATTCTTCTGGGATTTTTTGACCACTCCAGCCTGCAGGGCCTGCGCTTCACAGTATTCCTGGTCATCCACCTCGTGCTTCTCGCAGGGAACAGCCTGATTGCACTCATCCCGGCGGTGGACTCGAGCCTCCACAGCCCCATGTATTTCTTCCTGAGGAACTTGTCCTTCCTGGAGATCTGCTACACGCCCGTCACCCTGCCCAAAATGCTGGTGGGTTTCCTGACGGAAGACGGCAGGATCTCCTTCCTGGGCTGTGCTGCCCAGCTGGATTTCCTGGTTTTGCTGGGCAGCGTCGAATCCCTTCTCCTGGCTGCTGTGGCCTGTGACCACTACGTGGCCATCTGTGACCCCCTGCACTGCACCCTCGTCGTGGGCAGGGGTCTCTGCATCAGGCTGGTGGTGGGGTCGTGGGTGGCTGTCACACCAGTGCAAGTAGGACAGACCTACCAAGTGTCTGCTTTGCCCTGCTGTGCATCCCATGACCTCCACCACTTTTTCTGTGACTTCCCCTCTCTGCTGGAACTGGCCTTCACTTTCGGGAACCAAGTGGTGCTGTACACCATCATCCTGGTATTCACAGTCCTTCCCTTCTCCTTAATAGTTATTTCTTACATGAAAATTATCAGGGCAATTCTGAAGATACCTTCAGCTCTGGGCAGGCACAAAGCCTTTCCACCTGCTCCTCACACCTTGAGGTGAAAAAAAAGCTCGGCCACAGCGATGGTCAAGGGATTCTGTAGGCATCAACAAACACCTGGCCCTGTTTTACACAGTTGTGACACCCGTGTTTAACCCTGTCCTCTACAGCCTGAAGAATAAGGTAGTGAGATTTGCCTTGAAGAGACTCTTCTGGACAAAGTGACACTACAGAGTACGTCGGAGTCCCAAACAGTCCCAAAATTTTCCCCAGGGCATGTGGTTGCCCCAACCAAGGCATCTCATATTTACTCAGACAAAACCACATGTCCAGCCTGGCTTTCCCCCTCCTCAGGAAGGGGAAAGGTGACCTGAGACATTCTTGTTCTGTGACCCACCATGATATCTTTGTGCTCTAGAGCATCTTCCTTGCCCCCAAGGAGCTGAATGCGAAAGCTCCTTCAAGCTGTGTCTGACCCACGGGATGTCAAAGCGTGGCCCATGGTCAATGAGGCCCAGAGGTGAATGAAGAGGTGACTACCATCAGGTGGGAAAAAAAAAATCACTCGCTAGACCCCATGGACTCTCTCCAGTGTCCTTGCATCAGCTTGAAAAAGTAAATCTTAGAATCAAAGAACATTTAGAATCGTAGAACTACCATGTTACCATGTCTGGCAGTAAGTTGTGTAATGCTTGACTAATTTGACATAAAGAATAAAATATAGTAACCAGGGGAAGAGTCCAGCACTGGAATAGGTTCCCAGAGATGTGTGGAGCTTTTATTTGTCATATTTTAACTCCGGGTGTCAGCTGAGCACCACAACAGCCGCTCACTCACTCCCCGCCGGTGGAAAGTGAAAGAATCAGAAAAGTAAAAGTGAGACAACTCGTAGGTTGAGAGAAAGGCAGTTTACTGGGCAGAGCAAAAGCCACACATGCAAGCAAAGCAAAACAGGGAAGTCATTCACCACTTCCCATCGGCAGGCAGGTAGTCAGCCATCTCGGGGAAACTGGGCTCTGTGACGTGTAAATGTTCACTTGGGAAGATAAATGCCATCGCAGTCAACATCCTCCCCCCCTTCCTTCTTATTCCTGAGTTTTGCATGCACAGGCATGACCACACCATGTGGAGTATCCCTTTGATGGGATGGAATCACCTGTCCCAGCTGTGTGCCCTCCCAGCCTCTTGGGCAGCCCCAGCCCACTGACTGGTGCAGTGGGGTGAGCAGCAGAAGCAGCCTTGGTGCTGTCTGAGCACTGCCCAGCGGTGACCAAAACGTTGTTGTGGCCTCAAGACTGTTTCCGTCACAAACCTAGAGCAGCCCCGTACGACTTACTGTGAAGAAAATTATCTCTCCCCCAGTTGAAACAAGAATAACGAGCAGAAGAGACCATGGGGTAGATGTGGGCAAAGGTGACATGGTTGGGCTTGTGAGGTCACCCTATGACAGCAGTGACGTACAGGTGACATGAGGTCACTGGGAACACCTGGTAGGGAGGTTGCAGAGAGGTGACTGTGCCCCTGGTGAGGCTCAGCCCTGGTGTGAGGCCACCTGGATGTGTCTGGGGAGCCTGTGGGACAGGGCAGGAGAACTTGTGGGGTGTGACAGAGAGCAGGGTGAGCAGCAGCCAGCGGTGTGGGCAGCACGGTGGGTCCTGGCTGGCTCTCGCAGGTGGCTGCAGACGTGAGAAGTGGCCAAACAGTGAGAAGTGGCCAAACTGCACAGAGGGGAGCACTGGGGACCTTCTGCCAAGGTCAAGTCTTGCAAGACCAGACGAGAACTGAGCAGCCACCTCTCTACAAGCAGCTGGCCTCTTGAATCCCCCGCCTTCCCCCTCTTCCACAGACTTCTTCTGGGATCCACATTGATCTTTCCCTTTCTCTGCCTCAGTCCTCTCCCCAAGTCATAACCCTCAGAAATTACCTTTTCCCCAACGGTCTCAGGTTTTCTTCATTTGTACCCAAGCTTGATAGCTTGGATACCGTTGCATGAGTCCTCTGGGACTTCAGGAGGATCACTGATGGTTTCCCAGGCTCTGATGGCCTTGCAGGACTCGACTGCCCAGAAGAGTGCGCAGGAGAGCTAATTTCAGTTAGCTGGGGATCTCCTTGGACTGTCCTGGAGGACAAAGGGGCCGCGTCTCTCCTAGATCTTCTGGGTCAACGTCCTCAAAGTCCAGCTTGCTCTCCTTCCTTCTCTCTTCCTCAAAGCCCCTCTGATGCGCAGGAAGTGGAGCAGGGCCTGGCAAGAGGTCAGCATGGATGAACCTCCCAAGTCAGAGAGGTTCACAGAATCACAGAATGTTGGGGGTTGGAAGGGACCTCAAAAGATCTAGTCCAACCCCCCTGCCAAAGCAGGATCACCTAGAGCGGGTCACACAGGAATTTACCCAATGGGTTTGGAGTGTCTCCAGAGAAGGAGACTCCACAGCCTGTGCCAGGGCTTTGCCACCCTCACAGTGGAAAAGATTTTCCTGAAGTTTTTGTGGAACTTCCTGTGCTCCAGCTTGCACCCGTGTAGGCATCAGCCAGAGCGGGGTGTAGCAGTTCACAGGGAAAGGTGCTCAGGAAGGTGCTGAAGCTTGGCCAGCTCAAGAGGTGAGTCCAACTGGTGGTCACCACCCTCTCAGCTATAGTGTCCATCCAGCACCAGGATGGATGCGGCACCTCAGATGGAGCTGCCATGAAAATATAGAGCTGTCCAGGTCACAGGCTGCAGGGAGTGCCCGAGCCTTCCCCTGGTGACAGGCAGCAGCTGTGACAACCTCTGCGTGCCCTGCGGACAGGCTGATGATCAGCTCAGCCTGGTGGCAGACCTGTGGGAGGAAGCTGAAAGGTTGAGGAGCTGCGTGGAGGCCGAATAAAACAGCTCAACCAGCAAAACCAATGCACAAAACAGAGCATTCCATATCCTCTCGACGAACTAAACGCCGTGACTCAAAGAAGGGGGACAGCAGGAACGAGTTCCTGCCCGACACAGCAGGCACGTCCCCTCAAGCACAATGCCGCGCACAAAGCAGAGCATTCCATATCCTCTCGACAAACTAAACGCTGTGACTCAAAGAAGGCGGACAGCAGGAACGAGTTCCTGCCCGACGCAGCAGGCACGTCCCCTCAAGCACAATGCCGCCTTCGGTGCCCTTGCAGAAGAAGTAACTGCAGGAAGAACCAACTCGTAACAAGGAAGATGGTTCACCCAGGCCGGGAGTGCCACCAAGGTGAAGTCACCCTTGACCATGCATCAACACAGAACCCGCGTGATAGTGAGATCTGCTGCCTCCCTGGGGCCCGGGTAAAGGCTGCGACAAGAAAACTTCCCACCCTGGTGAGGCCTTTGGGTTATTACCCAATTTTGTTTTTCCAGATGGGTTGCGATGACGTAGCCACAACGAGTCCAGAAACAATCAAGAGAGACTTGGGCAACAGGCTAAGGGATCAGGGGCACGAGCCATGTTCTCTTCCATCCCTACCATTGCAGGATTGTGTTTCCAACAGACGTCTGGGAAGTTGGGGTTCCCCACAAGAACAAGGGCAAGCAATGCCGAGACTTCTCCCAGAATGTTTCATCTGCCTCTCTGTCCTGGCTGGGTGGTCTCTAACAGACTCCCACCACATGATCAGCCTTGCTGGTCCTCCCCCTGATTCTGAGACCTTCAACCCTGTTGTCACAATTTCGTTTCTTCTTTGTTCATTCAGATTCTCCTCATCCTTGCTGTTACTTTGAGCAAAAGCCAACCTGTGCTCCAAGAGTCTAATGCTCTCCTTAGCCTCTTCTTTAACTGTGTTTACAGCCACCTTTTTGTATTTACCTACCTAAAACAAGATTATCGAGGCAGCTTGGACTGAGCATATGGTTGCAGAGTGTGGTTTCTTTTATTTTTTTTACTTACAAATAAGAGAAACTCTGCGGTGCCTGTGTGCAGCCAGTTCTCTGAGGACAAAAGGTGGGAGATGGTGCAATGGAGCTGTAACATCCAGCTGCAGAGATAGAGGAGAAATGTGATGTGAGGACAGTGATGGAAGCCCCGTGGGGACAATGTCAGGAATGATGGGGTTGAGGAGGTGAGGAGCAAAGGTGTCCATACAGGGTCACGCCTCAAGGAATAGCTTCTTCTACTGGTCCAGACCTCCTGAGAAGACCCTCTGGAGCATTGTCACTTGGAGAATGCTGCTTTAACCTCTTCTCTAAGCTAAAAAGTGATAAAATATCCCTTTTAAAATAAAAAAAAAAACCTTCCTCCTTAACTACGTTATGAAAGAGCTCCAATTAGATGTACAAGCCTCAAAGAAAGTTACAAGAAGTTAACAAGCTCCATGGTGCATTTGGGGCTCATTACAGGAACCTCAGGCACTCACAGAAGACTGAAGAAACCTCTCAAGAAGTCCAAGTCAGAAGCAAAACTCCAGGTACCTGGAAGTATTAATCAGGCCCTCTGAGGCTCGTTACTGACACAGGCTCCCCAGGGGCTCGTTAGAGCAGCTCATTGGAGGCCATGATTGCAGGCAGGCCCAGGCACTGTGCAGTGGCTGTAATGCTGAGAAAAGCCTTGGGTTGGCTGGATGAAGCAGAAAGACCAAGCCCTGACCCCCAGGCCCCGGCAAGGAGGATCCTGGGAGGCTCCAAAGAAGTTTTGTGTCACCAGCCTTGTTGGTTGAGGCAGCTGCTGTGGCCAAGAGGACCTGGGTGCTGTTGGGCCTTTCAGCCTTGCCAGAGCCCTTGGCCATCTCTCCCGCAGGCTGTCCTGCACTGTCCATTCCTGCACCTTCAGGCTATTGACTCCCTTCTTGCTTTCCCAGCTACCTCTCATCCTGTCATTTCTAGACCTTCCCTGATGTCTCTCTACTCTCACTGGCCATTGCTACAAACACAAAGCCGTGGGATGATCCCTGAGTGACATATATTTTTCCTTACATCCAGCCTGAGTGTTCCAAGCTGCCTTTGTGGAGGTTTGTTTTTGTTTTTTTTTGATCTGCACTTTCAAGAAAAGCTCCATCGTCTCCAAAACCACCTTCCAGTTGGTTGTAGGCTACTGCTGCAGTGCCCTGAGCCTCCTCTTCACGAGGCTAAAGAAGTCCAAGACCCTTAACCTCCCTGCACAGGCTCCAAACTCCATCCTGGCAGATGTCCTCTGGAGCCTCTCCAGCTCCTCGCTGTTGCCTGTGGACAGGAGGTTAGCAAATGTGACACCCATCTACAAGAAGAGCCAGAAGGAGGATCCAGGTTA